AGCCCTGGTTCGAGTGTACCTGCCGTTTCAGCCTCACCGCCTGACCTTGAGGGATGGGCTCCACCTCCGGTGCCTCTGCATGGTCCGGCATTTAGGAATCTAGATGCTGATCAGAAAACGCAGTTAGTTCGGATCCATAACAACTTGGGACACCCTGCCCCAACGACCCTAGCCAAACACCTGAAAGCCGCCGGAGAAGCCCAAGCCCTTGTGGATGCCGCGCTAGATTTCCAATGTGACGCTTGCTTAGAGTCCACTGAACCTCGACACCAGAGACCCGGTAAGTTGCCCGAGCCACTTGAGTTCAATGACTTGATTGGGATAGATGGTTTCTTCTTTAAGGGGAGATCAGGGTATAAGGCATACGTCATTCACGCCATTGACGAAGCAAGCTGTTTTCACCTTGGAAGAAGGGCTGTCTCTAGAGAAACCAAGCATGCCACTACGACGTTGGCAGAGTTTTGGCTATCATGGGCTGGAAATCCCCGTAAGGTTTACGTTGATCCCGCTGGAGAATTTAGATCGGAAGAGATTCTAGAGTACTTTCAGGGAATCAATGTGAAAACATTTCTTTCCGCGGCCGCCTGGCAAAGGGGACGGGTTGAGAGACACGGGGATGTAGTTAAGGACATGTTGGCTAGGTTAGACGCCCAGAGCCCACTTGCCAACGATGCACTGTTCGATCAAGCACTGTTGCTTGCCTTCCAGGCAAAGAATGCCCTGATGCGCCACAGAGGGTATGCCCCGGAGCAGATAGTGTTAGGCAAGTCCTTGCGGGTTCCTGGTAGCCTCACGTCAGATGAAGACTTAACATCTCATGCGCTTGTAGAGGGATCCGACCTGGAAGCCGAACTCCACAGGCAACGACTTGATGTCCGCTGCCGTGCCCGACAGGTTTTCTGGGAAGCTGATAATAGTCAGACCATCCGTCGAGCACTTCTCCGCCGAAGTAATCCAGTTCGGGGTCCCTATAAGCCTGGAGACTGGGTGTTATACTGGATGCGTAAAGGGTCTCCAAATCGCCTAGCTGCTGGCCGATGGCATGGACCAGCCCGTGTTATTTCCCAGGAGGGTCAATCAATCACGTGGATTTCCCACGGTTCGATCATCCTGCGATGTGCCCCAGAGAACCTTCGACCTGCCAGTTTGCGCGAATGGCAGCAGTTGAGCACAGCAGATTTTTCCGATCCTCATAAGAATGCTGGAGGAGCGAGCTCCTTTGTAGATTTGACCGGAAATGAATCGAGTGCTCCTGTCACCAATGCGCCTGCACCTGCAAGCTCCAGCGGAGACCTCTTGGTTCCTTTGCCTACCCCAGTGCCCAGCGTATCTAATCCTGCGACAAACCCAATTCCTGATGATGACCTGATTCAGCCCGAACAAGAGCTGACTCCCCAGGTCTCCGGTAATCCAGATCCACCAACCGACAATCGTGAAGTCGAGCGCGAGGTTGAGCGACAGCCTGACCACGCTGCACCTTCTATAGTTCTAAACGATAATCCAAATGCTTCTGTTACTCCCGCTGATCCTCTGCCGAGCGATGTTCCAGTACCCGACTCCGATGAAGGTCTTCTGACTGAGGCCATGGCCTGTACTCTAGTACCTGAGGAATTGCCTGAAGAGTCTGTGCTGCTCTCCACTGAAGCGTGTGATGGAGACCTTCATACTTTCACGACTGTCCTGTCAGGCACGTCTGCCTGTGGTCCTCCTTTGGCCGAGGATAATCTGCCATATGTTGAACAGCCCTTGCAGTGTTCAGAGCAGCAAGCCTTCTGCTTGGAAATTCCCATGAAGGCCAAGGACCTACGGAGATGGGCTCAAGAGCGAGCTCCGGAACAGCTTTCTTATCTTGCCACTGTGGGCAAGAGAGCGAGAGCTGAGGTACATGTGAAGGACCTCTCGGCTGCTGAGCTCCAGCTCTTCAATCAAGCTAAACAAAAGGAAATTCAGTGTTGGATTCAAACTTCAGCCATAAAATCAGTCCTTCGCCAGCGCCTGAATCCCGAACAAATTTTACGTAGCCGTTGGATCTTAACTTGGAAGAATCCTGAGCCCGGAGACACCCAGCGTAAAGCCAAAGCGAGACTAGTGGTTCTAGGCTACCAAGACCCAAAGTTAGTGGATGTTTCTCGGGATGCTCCCACGTTGTCAAAGGAGGGTCGTGCTTTGGTCCTGCAAACCATAGCCTCCAAAAGGTTCGAGCTGAGTTCCTTCGACATAAAGACAGCTTTCTTACGTGGTAAAGCCGATGAAAACAATCCTTTAGCCATGGATCCTCCTAAGGAACTTCGCGAAGCCCTACGGTTAAAGGACAATGAGGTGTGCCAACTGTTGGGCAATGCATATGGAAGGGTAGACGCCCCCTTATTGTTCTATAAGGAGCTTAGCAAACAGCTACTAGAGTTGGGCTTTGTGCGACATCCCTTAGAGCCATGTGTGTTTCTGCTTTACACCGGCTCGGTGCTCAATGGGATTCTGGGAGTCCATGTGGATGATGGGGTTTGCGGGGGCGATGCAGTGTTTAGCCAAAAGATACAATCCTTGCAGACTAAACTTCCTTTTGGCAGCCGCAAACACCGCAACTTCGTTTTCACTGGCATCCATCTTGAGCAATTTCCGGATTTCTCTATCCGAGCCTCTCAGGGTGAGTACGTTAAGAACATCCCCCAACTGGACATAGGCCGTACCCGTAGGATGCAACCTGCTGCACCCGTCACGGAAAATGAAAGATCCCGTCTTAGAGGTATCATTGGCAGCCTCCAGTACGCAGTAACACACACCCGACCCGACATGGCGGCGAAGCTTGGTGAATTGCAGACGCAAGTCACAACAGCAACTGTGCAGACGTTGCTACTTGCCAACAAGGTTCTGCGCGAGACCCAAGAGCAAGCCGATGTGTGTATTCACTACTTGCCTATCTGCCCTGAGGATATAACCTTTGTGTCATTCGGCGATGCGTCTTTCGCATCTTCCAAGAACCTGAATTCGCATCAGGGAGCCCTTGTCTGTGCCACTGACAGTAGGCTAGATAAGAACCAGGAAGCCCCCCTGTCTCCCTTGGTTTGGACCTCTAAGAAAATTCCTCGGGTTGTTAGGTCCACCCTAAGTGCTGAGGCATATGCGATGTCAAAGGCAGTTGACATGTTAGGCTGGATGCGTGCTCTGTGGGGCGTGGTTCATGTGCCTGAGTTTCGCTGGCAGAGCCCTGAGGAAAGTTATAAGAAACTTAAGAAGGCAATCATTGTGACTGATTGCAAGTCACTATTCGATCTTGTAACACGCTTGGCGATGCCCGCATGCGAAGAGCACAGGACTACGCTTGAGGTGCTGTTAATCAAGCAAAGGTGTTCTGAGAACGCCAGCTTTCGCTGGATTCCGACAACACTCCAGGCTGCAGATTGTCTGACAAAGGCCATGGACGCCACCTTGTTGCGTACAGTGTTGGCTCAAGGCCGCTTCAAACTTTACGACACAACTCAAGCCCTGGAGAAGGATGCCCAGAGAAAGCAAGCCATTGCTTGGTTATCACAGCCCGCCGCAGCACAGACTTGACTTTGAGAGTTGCTTGCCCCTGTCCTCCATGGAACGAGTCCTTTTTCATTTCGACTCCCTTGACTGTACAGGCAATCGGGATGCACTTGTCCCAATAAAATTGGGTCAGTGTGAATCCGCTGCAGGATCTGCCGTTGGACATGTACATCTCGATTGCTCTCTGGCCCAAGGACCAGAGGTGGGAGGGCAGTGGCGTTAGGTGACGCATGGTCGCTTGAGTGCTGGCAAAAGGGCGAGGCCGCCTTCGTGACTGCGTGGGGACACGTCTTCAGAGTTTTGGCAGACGGAGTCTGCTCTTCTTCTTTTATCTCTTCAGCATTGCGATTGGGGATCACATTTGCTGCAGAGGTTTCGTCTACCAGTGGGACTCCTTAGGGAGTTCACAAGGGTTTAGGGTTTAGGGTTGTACTTGGGTCGAAATTATCCTCAACCTCCATGCATCCTGATCATGTCCGTCATCATTGTCCATCCGAATAATATTGGTCAAAGTAAGCTTTCACAGTATATTGACAATAATCATCATGGTAAGTCGTTTTTCTGTGGAGTCTTCTCTTTACTCTCGTGGGTCATAGCCTCCTCTTAATAATATGGGTTCTTTATTATGGTAACTTCAATCAACTCCTTTTACATGTACCCAGGAAAAGGGGAAATGGCTCAAACTTTTAGCAGCGGTTTTGGGTTGAGGGTTCAGGGTCTTCAGCCTGTAAGCGCGCCAGGCCCAAAAATTCCTCATGCACGAACCGCATGTCTCTGAGCCGTGAACAATCCTTGAATCCTGAAAGCCTAAAACCCTAAACCAATCGTAGACACGGGAATCCCGCACCCTCCACCCTGAACCCAGAAACCTATGTTGTTGTTGTTGTTGTTGCTGCATAGCACCCTAAACCCTAAACCCTAAACCCTAAATCCCAAACCCTCCACCCTGAACCCAGAACCCTAAATCCCAAACCCTGAGGCCTAAGACAGGAATCCTGGAGCTCTCCATCCAAAGCCCAAGGCGGTTCAGGGATTAGGGGTTTAGGATTTAGGGGTTTAGGGTTTAGGGTGAGTTTAGAGGTTTAGGGGTTTAGGGGTTTAGGGGTTAGGAATACGTATTCTCAGCTCCTTCTAAGACCGTTCCCAAAGCCGTCGAGCACCCTTCAAAGCCGTGATAAACACTCATAAGTGACCTGCTATGAAAACAAAGGGTTTAGGGTTTAGGGTTATGCAACCCTGAACCCTCAGCCCTAAACCCTAAACGCCTAATCTCCGAAACCCCTAAGCCCTAGACCCTAAACCCTGAACCCTTAAACCCTTAAACCCCAAATACCTAAACCCTAAACCTGACCTTAACCTACCAGAATCCCTATAGATCCCTTTAGAGGAACCCTTAAAGGAACCTCTATAGATCCCTTTATAAAGGAAACCCTAAACCCTAAACCCTTATAGAAACGGAAGCTCGAGCCGAGGACTGTTTCAACCAGACGATGAGCTACTACGGGGCGAACTTGCAGAACGGCTTCCTGACCGATGCCAAGGCACCCTGCCTTGGGCTCCAGCCCAGAGACTCCAATATCCCTTAATTAATAGTAGGATCCCGAATATGATTTAAGGAATATTCCTTAATTAAGGGGTATTGGAGTCTCTGGGAGGGGTTCAAGGGTCTTTTAGGGTTTAGGGTCTAGCGTTTCAAGGGTCTTCAAGGGTTTAGGATCTAGGGTTTGGGGTTCTAAGCTTGGTCCCCCCTGCGCGGGGCCCCCGCCCCCGCTGCTGCATCTGACCGTAGTAGTCGAACAGAGAAGTCGATTTAAATTAGTCCGAGAGGGGGGACCTATGGTTTCCCCACCCCCGCTGCTGTGGCCCAGGATGTAAAACTTCAGTAGGGGTTGGTAGGGGTTTGCACCATTCATAAATAACTTAGTTCTCCAATACCAAACCTTTAAACTTCTTGGGCTCTTATAGTTTTTTAGGAATCGGGAAGTTTAACCTTCTATTTCTGTGGCTTATTGGGGTAGTAAGTGAAGTTAAGTAGGGTTTTCGGGTGTTGAGGACCTGGGGTTCTAGGGTTTAGGGGCGCCAAGCGCTCATAGTTAAATAGGGTTTGGGGGTGTCGAGGACATAGGGTTTTAGCGTTGATACATGGGGGTTTCCCAAAATTAGGGGTACCTTATTTTGGGGTCCTTATACTTAGGATCCTACTATTTAGGGTACTATATTAGGATCCCCTATTTCGGAAACCCCCACATGATTAGTTCAGGGGTCGCCGGGGTTCGCTAGGGTTCTAGCAGGGTTCTGTACTGTAAGGGTTCTTCAGGGGTTCTGTCAGGGTACTTTAAGGGTTAATGTAGAAGCCTGAATATTTAAGAAAGAGATTTTTCAATTCTACAAAGCATTAGGCAAAGTTTACACAAAAGCATGAACAACTAGTCACATAATTCCCAGGATCCCTGATTTTACGTATACTACTGTACCCCAAGATCCTATTGTGATGCTTAAGGCCCCTATGTTCGTACCAGGCACCAGAGGCCATGGAAGGGTTTAGAATTCAGGGTGAAGTGCTCGTCGTCGTGGGAAGATAGGTGTGTCAGAACCATGCATGATGCGAAGACTGAACAGCAACGGTATCGAACATCCAAGTAACCGTACTATAGGGGTTTAAATGATTACCAATACTATTGTGGGCTTCTTTGATATGATCATAGTATAATGTACCCCAACACCTTATTCTAATTATCGGAAGCCCTGACCCTTGACCCTAAAGCTCAACCCCTAAACCGCAAGCCCTGAACCTCAAGCTGTACAGCTCTGGAGCCTTAAGCCTTGAAGAGCCAAGCAGCACACCCCCAATCATAGGGACCCTTAGGGGGGCAGAGGGGAAGGGGGGACTATACTTCCTTAAATAGGCTTTACTAAGTCTTAATTCTAGGTATGAAGGCCCCCTACCCCCCTTTTCAGAGACTCCAATACCCCTTAATTAAGGAATATTCCTTAAATCATATTAGGGATCCTACTATAATTTAAAGTATATTCCTTAATTTAGGGACATTGGAGTCTCTGGGTTCCACCCAACCGACCCAAGGGTCCTTGTGTCCCGAAGAAGGAGTACCATCCGGCCTTGCAGCATTTCATTCTGGTCAACGAGCCGGATCTCAAGACGCTCGGCTGCGGCCCAAACGCCTTAGAAGCCCTAAAACCCTAAGACTCTCGAACCCCTAAGCCCCGAACCCCCAAACCCTAAACCTTAAACCCTCAGACCGCGTCAAAATACGGGCCTGCGTTTGTGCATAGTTATGTTTAGGCCTTTATGTCCGACCCTCAACCCTAAGAAGAGATAACAGTCCTAAACCCTAAAGACTCCTTCAACGTCTATGCGGTCGTTTTCTTTTGCCTGGGAGGGCGAGGTTCTGGAAGTCATAGGAGGCCAAAAGGGGTTTTAGCCTATGGGGGTTTAGTAGGGATTAGCGTTCCCATAATAGGGCTCATATTAAGGAATCCCTAACCCAAGAATCTTAAACCCCCCTTTTGGCCTGCAGGAGTCTCTTGCAGCCCCTTAAGGCTCTACGGGCATTTGGGGGTGTTTAAGTGGGCAGCATTGTCCTTGGCCCTTGCAATGATGCACAGGAGGAGGTCGGGAAACTCCCCCCCCGGCCAAATCTGTAAAGTCACGAATCAGAAGCAGCTTGTAGATTGGATCGCTGATCTCTAGGGTTTGGAGACTTGGGGGGTCACACGTACGTACATAAGTGACCGCAGTGGTTTTCGGAAGGCATGTTTCATTAGAATGAGCTTTGAGCCCACGCCTGCCAGCAAAATTAAGCAATGTTCATATGGGTGATTGTCAAAATTATGGTCCTTTTTTGGGTCCCTAATATAGTACGGCACCTAATATTAAGGGTACCCAAAAAGGGACCTTAATTTTGACACCCACCCATATATGCTTGTTGAAGTGACTATGAAGGATCATCCTGCCTTGAAGCTTAGGGCGTTGCAGGCTTTCACAGCAGACCTTCCCTGGCTGCTTTCGAAAGTCGCAGTCGGGTGTCAACTGGGACCGCCAAACAAAGCTGTAGAGTTACATATGTATGTAATGTATTTATTTTTGTTTGCATGTATGCATGAATGAATGAATGAATGTATGTGTAAGCGTCTCGGCCCGACTCAGAAAGCTTCCCTCCTCGACCGGTAACGCCGCATGGACAACCTTCGATGCCGAGATCGTCGGCATCTCCGACAGTCTCCCACGGCTCTTTCTCGACGCACTCCGAGTGCAGCGCTGACTCTTCTGATCCTCCTCTTAGCAGCTGCTCTGAGGAACTGCCTGAGCTTCCTGCAAATCAACGACGCGCCTGTAGCTGGTTCCGGAAACGCATTCAGATTCGCTTATGCGAGATGTATGTGGAGCACTCCTATGAGACCCAAGGCTATACGGGGCGTGAGTTGTCTGCACGCCTGGCAGGCTTCAGGAGACAACGTGATAGTGCCGAGCTGGCACGCACTCTGGAGATCATCGAAGAACGTGTCCCAGGGCACGTCCTCGACCTGCTACAGCGAGATCTCGCCACCATCAGGAGAGCCCTGGAAACCCGGCTTCCCCGCAACGACTGTATCTGGATACACAGCCTGGGACGATTCACACATACACCGTTGCCGCCCATTTCGCGCTGTGAACAACGGGTACAGCTGTTGTTGTGCCAATGCCTGGCGCAGCGATTACAGTTTGCGCGTGCGAGAGAGTTCGCGCAGGAGCTCACTCACCTGGCATCGGGGGGATTCTACAGGGATTTCCTTTTGCGAACGTGGCCTTTCTTGGATGCCTCCAGCCGCAGGCGTTTCGTCCGATGGCTGCGAAGAGAAAGTAACTTCCAGCTGGCCTACCCACAAGGTGAAGGCATGGCTGAGGACCACGACCGCACAGACTGAGCTGCTGTGGCCGCCCGCTATGGAGCGGGCAGCTCCACCGATCGACCAGGCGAGCAGCCGCAGGACACCGCGGCTGCACCGATCTACATTGAGGCGGGAAGTGCTTCTCGAAGATTCAGATCTTCCAGCAGGGGGCCGCCCTGGTCCCAAGTCCAGGGGCATGGGACTGTATTCAGTTCGACCTGTCACTGTGCACAGGCATAGCCACCACACCTGCAGCAGCAAGACTTGGTCCCATGTAGACGCGAGGGTTGAGGGAAGTAAAGGCCATTACCCCTCTGAAGCCACCCTAATTTTCTGCGATTGCTCTTCTAAGAAGGCAAAGCATTCTGGCCCTTGTATTGTCAGGAGTGATCCTGTCGCATGGGGCACACCCGAGGACAGGTCCGCCCTCCAGTCTTTCAACAACCATCCATACTCGTTGCAGTCAGTTCTCTCACCTTTAGGCTTGATACTTGTACTGCTCTGCTCGTTCAGGGCCTTTCGCCGTAGATCCAGGCAGTTCTACGGCACATTCCGTCTCCTGCCAGGCCGATATCACCGCCGGCGCAGTGAGACAGACTTGCGCTCAAGCTGTGCAGCACGGTTGAGGCGTGCTCAGCTGTCAGCTGTTGCAATCTGTCCTCAAACCCGTGACGATCACCAAAGCCGCAGTAGCAGCCCCATAAGCCCCGTCCCAACTACCCCAATAGTACGGATGCGTTGGGTACTACTTCTTTTGGTGTTTTCCATATTAGCTCATCCAACAAGATCCCACCCGACTAGCACTGCTCAAACGGGACTGAGTGCAGACGCAGCGCTGCCTCTGTTGCGTGCACATGGCGGTCTAGCGCAGAGACTGTCCACGGCCAGAAAACGCTCCTTCAAGCGTGCACAGGCTCGCGCCCTGCGAGATGGGGTTACGAAATATAGGGGTCAGACTCACACGTTAGGTTGTCTCTCCCTAAGACGCCTCCCCAACCCTAACACTGTACAACGGCCACAACAGTCGCTGCTGTGGGACCTGCCGGGTCTCAAGGCTGTCTCTTGGAATGCCGGCGGTCTGCACTCCGCCAGATACCATGAGGTGTTGCAGTGGCTCACGGAGCACCGGCATTGCGTGCATCTTATGTGTGTTCAAGAATCTAGATGGAGTCAGTGGGCCGAGTATTCCACAGACGACTGGCACGTCATTAATTCCGGCACGGGCTCAAGCATAGGTGGGGTTGCATTCTTCATAAACAGGACATTCTTCCGTAGTGAAGACATCAAACTTGTGGAACTAGACCCCGGGCGTCTCCTGCATCTTAGACTCATGGGACCCACAAATGTCGATGTACTCGGGATATATCAGCACTCGTGGAACCCCCACAGTCGTTCTAATGCCCCTGCACACCCGACCGCAACGGGCCCTCGTGTCGCAGAAAACGTACTGCTCCAAAAGCGAGCTAAGATCTGGAGCCAGATGCGCAGTTGGATTACTTCCATTCCCAACAGGCATAAGCTTCTTGTACTTGGAGACATGAACGCAGGGCTAAGGCCCCACAACCCCTCCGTAGGCCAGGGTGTTGCTATGCACAAATCCCTAGTCCACCCCGACCAGGACACTTACCAACAGATAGTCACCACGCTAGGCTTGGTAGAGCAGGCACGTATTTGATGCATGAGACTGGCTCCGTGCAGATTGATTTCTGCCTGACGCGGCTACCTAGCAAGCCAGCCGAGCTCTGCGCGACAGCGTTGCATGACTCACCATTAGTGCACCCTACGGGGCTAAGGCATGTCCCAATTGCGTGTAACCTGGATTTGAGCACTCCCGCTAGATGCACCCCTAACAGTAGACCATTAGGACCCAAACAGATTGCGGATGCGTTGCGGAAAACACCGGGCCTGGAGCACCCCTTCCGCCTAGCCCTGCAGCAAGAAATGGAGCAGCAACATCAGCTGCCGTGTGACCTAGATGCGTGTCTGCGCAAAGCCTGGCTTGCAGCCACGCGGCATACGTCCAGTTGCGCCGAGTCTGTGAAGCCTGCATCGACCCTGACACAGACTGCACCCACGCTTAAAGCTTTCTGGGAAGCCAAACAGGGCATTCGCCACTCCCTAGAAGGTCTCAAGCAGTACTGGTCGCCCGTGGTGTGGCACATAGGTGACAGCGGTTACACTGCCATCCGAAGACACTGTGCAGGGCCGGCGCTTCGGCTCCAACTTTTGTTTTCGTGCTGGAAAGCATCCACTAGGTTCCGAGGCCTGGACAGGGAGTTTCGCAATCGTGTGAAGTCCAACAAACGGGCTAAAGTAGATACACTTCTGCAACAAGCACATGAAGCGGAGGCTCGTGGGATCAGCCAGCTGCAAACCCTCACAAAACAACTTCGCCCTAAGTCATCCAAGCGTGGCATTCACTTTCGGGATGTCCAGGGAAGAATGATGTCACCCGGGGAAGAGATGCAGACACTCTCCGACTTCTTTCAGGATTTGTATCAGACAGTGCAACACCGGACCCAGGCGCACGTACTGCAGGCTCCCCTAGAGATCACCATCCCTGAAGTCACTGCTGCCTTGCAACGTTTATCAGCCCGGAAAGCTCTGCCGCCTGGACAGGTCCCAGCACGCCTCTGGAAGTTGGCTCACACTGAAGTCATACCAGTTTTGTGTGCATCATACAATGCGGTCCTTCAGACGGGCCCACTTTGGTTTCCGGCTTCGTGGCATCGAGCTTTCCTAGCCCTAATCCCCAAAGTAGGCAAACCACCCTGTAGGCCCGCCAACCTCAGACCGATTAGCCTTCTTTCGGTGGAAGCTAAGCTCCTTGCTCGCATAGCAGCGGAACGGCTGAAGCCCTTCATACAGCGCGCGCTGCATTCCATCCCGCAATTCGCCTACTCCCATCAACGCCAAACAGCAGACTGTCTCGATCGAGTGTTCTCACACTGCTTTCAAACACGTGAAGCCCTCCGCATGCATCAACGCAAAATCTTCAACACTTACGCCAGGCGGAAACAAGCATCATTAGTAGGAGGCATGGTGCTATCCTTAGACCTTCCGCGCGCTTTCGATCTGTTACCGCGGAATTGCTTGGAGGCCTCCTTGCGAAAAGTCGGCATTCCACAGGATTTAATCACTTTAGTGCTCTTCATCCATGATAATGCAGTCTTGGTGCTGGAGAAGTGCGAGCAAAGAGCCGAAGTGGGCATGGCCAGGGGCATACGCCAAGGATGTGGGCTCTCCCCACTTCTTTGGCTATGCTTCACAGTCTTACTGCATGAGGTGTTGGCAGAGTACATTCCAACCTCCAATATGTCAGGGTTTGCGGATGACTATCTAGTGAAGTGGAGCTTCGGGAACCCCAGAGATTTCGAGAATGCTCGCAAGCAGGTAGCCAAGATAATCCTAGACTTGGAGCGTTTTGGAATGCAAATTTCTCTTGACAAAACTGTCATCCTGTTGGCCCTCAAAGGCGCCAAAGCTGCAGCACTCCTAAGAGAAGCTACTCTACGGAAAAAGGGAGACAGATTCTTGAAACTGCATCTGGGATCCAGAACTGTGCTGTTGCCTATCAAACAATCCCACACCTATCTCGGAGCAAAAATTTCGTACTATGCTTTCGAGAGGCTTACCGTACAACATCGTCTAGCACAATCGTGGGTTGCGTTTCACAGGCTTCACTCTTTCTTGAACTCGCAGCAAATCCCGCTTGGGAAGAGAGTTGCTCTTTGGCGCTCTTGTGTCTGGAGTATCACCCAGTACAGCCTTTCGGCAGTCGGGCTTGACGCCTCCAGCAGGCAGCAGCTAGTATCGCAGACCTTCCGACAATTGCGCATGGTAGCCCGTAGCCCAGCCCATGTTACCCATGAGAGCAATGAGGACCTCCTACGACGCTTAAATCTTGAGCACCCGCTCAGTCTTCTGCATAAGGCTTGCTGTGCTCGTGTCAAGACCTGCGCCTCAACAGTTGCGCACCTGCAGCCGCCTGAGGTGCAACAGTGGTGGGGCTTACTCCCCAGCAGTTTCCTAGAGCTAGAGCAAAGTGGAGCGACACCGACTAAACTAGTGGAGGTTACACAAGTAGTCTCGTCCCCACAGACCTGTCCATTCTGCTCCCAAATCTTCCCAAGCCACCACGCCCTGAACTTCCACATTGGCAAGCAACATAAAGGCACAAGGCAGGCGAGAGAAGCTAACCCCACTGTTAAAAACAGGCGCCGGGATGCATTGCGCGTCCACTCGCTAGGAGGGCTTCCGCAGTGCAAGCACTGTCTTCGCAAGTTCTATGGTTGGCCGCAGTTTATGGGTCACATCGATCAGCAAACCTGCCCTGTCTTGCATCGCTGGACTCCCAAACCTGCCGTGGTAGTAGACCCCCAGCCGACAGACACAGCGGTGGATGTGCAAACTCAGCCAGGACCATCTGACACAGTGGATCCGCAGCATGTTGAGCACGACACCACTCCATTGCTGTACAGGCCGGAGCTACAAGCACTTGCGCGCCAGGGCAAAACTGCTGAACTGGCCAAGGGTATAGTTGCTGCTGCGACGCCCAATCATTGCCCAGAATGCTTTCAGTGGTGCGCGACCCCTGCCTACATTGCAAGGCACGCCTATAAGATGCATGAATCCATCAGACTGCGCAAAACACATGTCACAGCCTGGGTTCAAGCTCACAAGCACCTCCGGAATCCCTGCCAGTGGTGCGGGACTGTCTACAAGGTGAGAGCCTCAGCACACATCTCAGCATGCAGCGTGCTTTGGATGTGCGGAGTGTTCCTAGACAGATTCCATACCCTCCAGGACCTCCAGCAAACTACGCTCCAACATGTCTTTGCCGCTTCCGGTGCCGGATGCGGACGTGCAGGAGGCTCGAGCAGAGCTTCAGTTCTTTGCGGAGGGCATGGGCAAGCAGAGAGTGGAACCCTCGACGGCTCCCCCGTCAGGGGCGACGTCCCCATTGGGGTCGCAAGAGATGGACCACGAGAACACTCGCGAGAAAAGGGTCGAGATGGACGGAGAGAAACCTCCGACCAAATTCGCCAAGGGCGACACCAAAGGGGACTCGCGACCAGACGACTCCCAAGCGAGCGGAAAGGGTGGGCAACTCCCTCAAACCACCCATTTCGGGTCAGAGGCGGGCAAGCAACCCCCGACCAAGGAACAGGGGAACGCGCGGACTGGCTATCAGATGCAGCGGAGCCACCGGCACGGCCAACAGTCTCACTGGAGCTCACGTCCGTGGAACCACCAGGGCTCGACTTGGCCCCGCAGGGAGGGCGGTCGGGACAAGGATCGCCTTCAGGAGGAAAACGAGCGCCTCCGCAATCTCCTCTTGGCAGTGGCTCGGCTCACCTTGCGGATGGAGGACACGATCTCCATACAGCAGCTGGACGTGGAGTTCGTAATCTTCATGCAGATTCCAGCCTCGGGCAACACATGGAGCATAGCCGAAAAGTTGTACGAGATCGGCCAGGACTGGCACCGCAAGAAGGAGGCCGACCCCTCCAGCTTGGATCAACCGATGAGAGCAGTCCTTCTCTTCTGCTTGCTCAATGCCCTGCTGGAGAAGGTCCAAGAGTTGGAGGTGAACAGCGAGCTGATGAAGCAGTGCACAGATCGAGGACTGGTGGAGGGGACCGCATGGCCGTTCTTGCAATGGGATCCGCAGGCCAAGCAGCATGCCAAAGCCAAGATGGAGCCGTTGGAACACAAGACTCTGGTGGATCTCCTACGCACCGCCCTGCAGCTCATGTGCTTTCCCAACGTACTAGGACGCTTCCACCCTTTGCGCAGGATGACCGCCACCCTAGGCGCGGATGTGCTTCCTTGGACAATGCAAATCCAAAACCGGAATGCGGAGAGTCAGAAGATGTACATGATCCTCGATCGCTTGGCCCGCAACTCTTGCTGGCACCTGGTCGCATGCACGATGCGCCCGGCACGCCTCGGCAGATCACCCTTAGCCAAGCTAGTGGACAAGCTGCTTCGGGAAATCTAAGCCCCTCGGCATCCGTAATCCCAGGCATAGTTCTCCTAAACCCAGCTAACTACTGCTACTCGCACGCCACCATCCTTGCACTGTGCTGGATCGCCAGCCGCCTGACCTCAGGTATGCCCATCTTTGAGCACAGACTTCGACGTGTGCTTCAGTGGCTCACTAGGCGACAGCAAACCACTAAGCTTTGGGATGTTAGGGCGTGGACCCAGCTTTGTTGGAATTGGCAGGCGCCAGAGAGGCAACATGATGCTGCAGAGTTTCTGCTTTACCTTTCGCCAGCTCTGCACCCAGCTAACCAGAGCTGGGAAGCACGCGAGGAACGCAGTAGTAGTGCTAGTAGTGACGGTCCAGCTGAGGTTGTGGATCAGGGCAATCTGTGCCCGCTGGTGATGCCCATTGTCTTGGACCCAGCTGCCCACAGACGTGCAACAGCTGTCAGCCTACAAACACTGTTTATCGGTTGGCGTAATCAGGCCTCGCAGCACGCGACAGTGAGCCTTCCAGAGTGGCTTGCGGTGCAACTCTGCCGGTTCGATGCCTTAGGCCATAAGATACACCACCGTTTGGCACTTCACCCCTATGTATATATCCCTGAATTCGTAGGCCCCGGACTCCAATGCACCTCCCGTAGATTCGAGCTTACTGCAGTGGTGTACCACATAGGACCACACAAACATGCCGGGCACTACCGCGCTGCCCTGTTTACTGACGGTGAGCTTAGCCATGTGACGGATGATGGCACTGTTGCTACGCCAGCCACAGCAGCAGATCTTGACATGATCTGCAGAAGCGCATACGTCTGCTTTCTCAGACGGCTTGAGTAGCGGATGAGTGTGCATTGTCTTGAGGCAAGTGACGTTTTCTGCTCTTTTCCAGGGACCCTTCCCTATTCGGAATGTACGTTCAGGCCCCGGAAGGGTCAGGCTTTGAAACGTCATCTTCGCTCAGGCCAGTGAGAGAACCGTTTTTGACCTCTCCCAATTGCATTTGCATAGGTACGTATCCTCTATTCTAGTCACATTGTTTTCTCACATGACTCTTGTTTGATGCAACTGGGAGTCGAAACAACATGAGGCCCTTCGGGGCGCTATTAAATACCTCAGGCATTGATCCGCTGCTTACGGGACGCATCGCGTCGGGCGGACATTGATTCTTAGCCGTATGGCTGCTTCTTGCTACATTAGCTTTGTCTTTCAACATTTGGGTCATTAAGCCTGGAGGGAACCTGTTGTTCTCGGGGTGCCAACACGGCATGCTTCCAAGAGAAGCCGGCTCTGCCGCCCTTAGCATCGCGAGACTCTCCTCGCGGCGACGGAAGAAGAAGAATGTATATGTACAAAACTATCACCTCTGCAAGCAATCCCTAAGACCTAAACCCCAGTCTTAAACCGTAAACTTTCGACCCCAGGTCCTTAAACCCTAAGCTCATGGGAGTTTCCGAAAATTAGGGGTACCTTATTTTGGGGTCCTTATAATAGGGATCCTATTATTTAGGGTACTATATTAGGGTTCCCCAATTTTTTCGGAAACTCCCACATCCTCAACCAGCTACAACTCTAAAATCAGTGCAGGGCTTTTTGCGTGGCGGGATGCAAATATGGGCTCCTGGAACTTGTGGTACCAAGCCATCGGCAAAACTGCGCAGCTGCAAAGAAAGTTGTTGGCATGAGAACGAAAGCACTCCCCCCTTCCCCCACCCACAACCCTACACCTACACCCTACAACCAAACCGAAACCCTAAAGCCATGCCACAACCCGTACAACAGCCCTGGAAGGTAAACCCAAAGGACCAACAAGAAGGGGCCTCCCCCACCCACTTTTCAGCCGCTACAGATTATGGACCCCTTTGAAGGACCCCTTAAACCTAGAGTAGAGTAGGCAACCTTTAACCTGTTTGGAGAAGTATAGTCACTATATATTCCCTACCTGACCAAAAGGTTCAGCTATGGTTCCCTATGATACCCGACAACTAGCCTAAACCCTAAAGTTCGAAAGTCCCTTAACCCTAAACCATCCTAAACCCTGAAGTCCCTAAACCCCTAAACCCCTATGATACTTGGTAAAGGATCCCTTAAAGTACCTTAAACCCTAAACCCTAAACCCTTAAAGGAGCCCTTAAAGGAACCCTTGAAGGATCCCTTAAAGGAGCCCTTGAAGGAGCCCTTGAAGGACCCCCGGGCCCCCTCCGAGGATCCCGGCCGGGGCAACGATTACTCCGGGCGGCCCGGAGACGATGATCAAGGCGCGGCCCTCTTCTTTTTTTATATCCATACATATATATATACATGTGTATGTATACATATATATATATATATGTGTATGTACGTATGTATACATACATATACATATGTATATATTAACCGGCTAGTACATCTATTAGGTATGGTAGTATATATGCTTGTATATTGGTATATATGAGTTTATATGAGTATATATGAGTATATATGAGTATATATGAGTATATATGAGTATATATGAGTATATATGAGTATATATATATATATATGAGTGTAGATTAGTCTCTATTAGCACAGTGGTATGTCGGTATGTCAGTATATTAGTAGGCGGTTTTCGTTTTGTCGAAGAGGGTTTAGGGTTTGGGGTAAACGAGCATTTCTGTTTTCGGGTTTGGGGTTAAGTTGTTTAGGTTGTGGGTTCTTTTGTTTTAGGGCGTGGGGTTTCGTTTTGGCTTTATGGCTCTTCTTACCATAACTGCATCAGGATGGGATATAAGAAGTTAGTATTTTAAAGTAGCTCTTCTTGTTGTATAACTATATCAGGATTGGAGGTTGACAGTCTTGTTACTTGTTCAGACCCCCTTGTGGGGTTTAGGGTTTGGGGTTACAAATCATGTGGTTCCTTGGGGTTTATACCCTAAGCCCGCCCGACAAAGGCCCAGAGAAGGAGCAGATTCCAGGAACCAGGACCGTCCACCTGAGTAGGTAGTAAGTAGATTGATAAGTATTTGAAAAGGGACCCTAATTGGGGTTATGGTACTTGTAAGTCCCTAGAATAACCCGACCCTCCAAGTAAACCCTAAACCCTAAACCCTAAACCAAAGCCGGACCTGGCCCCGACCCGCCCCTTAAGAAAAGACGGTTCAGGCATGAGGTTAGGGCTGAACCCTAAAAGAATACTTAAAGGATCATGGGACTTAGTAACTAGGGTTATTACGGGGGTAACTACACTTATAGTTACTTATAATCCCAATTAAGGGACTTAGCTAAGTAGGTCTGGGTGGTTTGCCCGCTTGAAACGGCTTTAGGTGGGGGAGAAAGCAGGGGGTAGCTTTCTATAGACAGGCTTCACAGCTCACCGCCATAGTACGATGCTGGAGAAGTCGGAACCCTAAACTTCACGGCTCTTTAGCATTGAAGGCCATAAGAAGCCCTAGTATAGGGGCCTAAATAATTACAATACTATTCTGGAAGGTTCCCCGCTATAATTATAGTATAGTGGGCCCCAAAACCCTATTCCAATTATGAAGGACCCTATATTACGATCCTGGGGCTCCCGAGCAGCTGTTCTGAGATAAGAAACAACGGTTGATGATATAAATCCTGGGGTTCCTTTAAAGGGATCTATAAGGATACCTTTAAGGGGCTCCTTTAAGGGATCTATAGGGTTTTTAGGGTTTAGTGATATAAATCCTGCATTGCCCATAGTAAGGAATATACCATAATTCCCAATATTCCTTCTTATGGGTAATGCAGGATTTCTATCATCAACCGCAAGCAAAACAAAGCAGTTAACCGTAATGGTCGCTCGCAGCATCATTTACGCGGGGCTTCGGGTTTGGGGCTGTCGGGGTGAGGGGTTTAGGGGTTAGAGGTTTAGGGCGTGCAGTTGTGGGTTCGGGCAGGTTTAATGAAAACCGCGAATTAGTAAACTTCTTTTTTTGGGGCCTCCTCATGAAGGTAGACATTACGGTTAACAAAACGTTGTGTTTCTGTATTGTTCGATTGTTTCTTATTGCAAGAGCTTGCTTTGAGACGAAACGTTCGCGTGACAGAGGGTGGGTCGGATGTGCCAAGAAGGTCTTAGTTTCTGCGAAGTTTGTGCGTCTCTTATCTCAAGTAGGCTTGGGGCGATAAAGGCTTTCTAGGAATAGTTCGTACAGTTCTACTTCGAGCTCATAGAGCAAATCATCCGGCAGTTGCAAATATCAAGTTCTCACGTGCTCAAGCATAACCCGTGGCTTCAGCGCAGCGAATCGTAAAACCTTGCACTTTAACCCCCCCAACCCTAAACCCTAAACCCCAAACCCTAAACCCTAAACCCCTAAACCCCCAAGCCCCGAAACCCTAAACCCTGAAGCTTGAAACTTCCGTCCAGGCGCTCGTCAGTGCCCTGGACGGCGTCCTGGAAGCTGAGCGCCGCTGCCGCGATTGCGGGTTTCCTTTGGGTTCATGGCTTCGGGCTTGGTTTTTTCTTGGGTTCGTGGCTTCGGGCTTGGGTTTTTCCTGGGTCCCTAAACCCTAAACCCTAAACCCTAAACCACTTAGGGTTTGGGGTTTAGGGCTTCGGGTTTTGGGTCCAGGGCTTGGGGCTTCGGGTTGGGATTCAGAGTTTACGTTTGGGGGGTTACGTTTAGGTGAAGGTCCCTTAAGCCTCTCGCGAGCTGAGGACTCTAAAGGGCTGAAGCTTTGTTACTTGGGTTTGGGGCTGTGGGTTTTAGTGATGGGGCTTGGGCATTTAGGGTGGGAGGCTGTGCTCTGGAGGGTTAGGGTTTAGGGTTTAGGGTCTACGCTTTAGGGTTTAGGGTTCAGGGTTTAGGGTTTAGGGATTTCTTATGTTTTTGCATGTGGGGATTGTGTCAAGGACCGTCCAAAAATGGTTTCACCGCTTCTCACCGACTCTTTACGGTTTGTCTAGTTCTTATGCGATTGACAATCTAAGGTATATAGAGGCTTGGGCATAGGCCTCAGTAGGTAGAAGAAGATTATGTGTTGCTACAGCATATTTGCGGAGTCCGATCGGGACTGCGTTGGATTTCTTTAGAGCCGGTTCCAGGCACAAGAGTCTGTACTAAGGTCAATGGACAAATAGCTTCTACGTATCTTGTCTTTCCAGTGGTGCTCCAACCCCAAACCCAAGTGCAAAATCCTCTAAGCCCTAAACTGAAACTTTAAACCTGCCCCCAAATCAGGGTACTGCCAACCTTACTTACTAAGTCCCCACAGTCGTTTAAGTGAGTGAGCCAGGCTTTCAAGCTTTTCGGGTTCATCGCTCTAGGATGATTTCCGGAAAATGATTTCATACAATATGGTTAGAGTCCTCCCCAAACTCCAAAGCACCGTGGCTGAGGAGTATACCTCGGATCATGTTAAGAGCGGTGCTAAACCTTTAAAGACCGAGTGCTAAATGTAGGGTTTTGACGGGGCTTTTCTACGAGGGTCTGCGGTTTAGGGTTTAGGGGTTTGGTATAGTTCGGTCAACGTTCGGTCAAACCTGCTGGGGTGTTGGCACCTCTGGTCCCTTCGCGCAGGAAGGAGGCAAACATTAGTGGACCGCTGATCAACTTTACGGCCACCTTCTCCTTTGCTGCCGCACGGCTCTGTCCGGGTATCAGTTTTTAAGGGTTTCAGGGTTCTACTTGGAGGATCATGGGACTTAGTAAGTAGGTTATAAGTGGGGTTATAAGTCCCCTAAGTGGGGTTATCCTAAGTATAACCTACTTATAACCTTACTTACTAAGTCCCATGAGCCTCCAAGTAGGGTATAGGGTTTAGGGCTAAGGCAGGCCTAAACCCTAAATCCGAAACCCAACTCCTGCGCGCTGTAGACCCTAAACCTGTAAACCCGTAAACCCTAAACTTAACCCGTAAACCCCCAATCTTCCGAAGCCGAAGCCCTAAAGCCGAAAGTCTTTGGTTGAAGGCATGGGGTTTTGGAGGCCCGAACCCCACCTTGAACTGTCAGAAGCTTGCTTTGTTTGGGTAGATGTTTCAAGACATACCTCTTTGAACGTCCATAAAACTCTGGAAAGCCCAATAAACCCCAGTACAACCCGAAAGAAACCAATAAAACCTAAACCGTAAACCCTCAACCCTCAACCCTCAACCCTAAACCCTAAGCCCTAAACCCTAAAGAAGCCCACTAGGGGGACTCTGTCGTCATTTGGGCTGTCGGGGCAGTGGACGTTCAACTGAGGCTTTGTACGGTTTAGGGTTTGGAGCGAGTTTAGGGTTCGGGGCTTAGGCAGGAATCCCTTACAGCCCTTAATCTAACTCTTAGCAAAAGCTTATTTAAGTATGAAGCTGCCTCAATGCTTAGGTCCCTGTAGAACCAAAAGGAAAGCAACACCCCTACCGTATGCCTTCAATGCAAGATAAGGGGTTTCGCCACATCGGCAGCAGCAGCAGGGCTGAATTTAGAACCGATTTTCTTGCGAGGCTGCCGCAGATGGCAAGCACAGTTCCTCCACCGGAACCCAGAGACTCCAATATCCCTTAATTAAGGAATATACCTTAAATTATCGTCGGATCCCTAATATGATTTAAGGAATATTCCTTAATTAAGGGATATTGGAGTCTCTGGGAACCGGCCTGGAGCGAACTCGCCCGAAGATGGGCTTTTCGGCTTAACCTGATGTGGTTCCTTGTGAAGGGCGTCGTCCCACGGCAAGGGGAGAACCCGACGTGCCGAGAAGGCCCGAAGGCAAGCTCGATCCGATCTGGAGGATGAACTGTTGGAGTAAGCCACGGAGACTGAGGGTTTAGGGTTGTAGGGGGGTAGGGGTTTAGGGTTTAGGGTTCAGGGTTTAGGGTTTAGGGTTTAGGGTTTAAGGTTGGGATATAAGCACGGAGACTCATCATGGACCAATGGAGGGCGCTTTGGCAATGGCTTGGAGGAGCCAACTGTGAACCTGAGCTTGAGAGAGTGAGAGGAAGAGAAAGAGAGAGAGAGAGAGAGAGAGAGAGAGCATGCGTTTGATTGCTATGTGTGAACTTGTCCCCCCCATGGGCGGGGGCCTGCAACCTGAGCCGTGCGAACAATCTTTTGGCTTGTCACCAACCATAAGACTGTAATTTGGTTTGTATGGGTAGTCTCATAAATCCCGACTAGGGGAGCACTGAACCGGTCCTGACTCTTGCCTGAAGGTGTAGGGATCGTTAAGCACTACGGAATGGATCCACTTACTTAGTGTAGATGTTGCCCTGCTTCCGCACATGGAGTTGTTGCCCTTGACAGCTGCTGCACGCAGTGCTTGATTGAGCTCAACATTCCCAGTGTGAAGGGGTTGACCCAGAGAATCCAATATCCCTTAATTAAGGAATATTCCTTAAATCATATTCGGGATCCTACTATAATTTAAGGAATATTCCTTAATTAAGGGATATTGGAGTCTCTGGGGACTTAGCGGTAGCAAGCTGCCCCCAGCTGTAGAAACCTGAAACTTCACTAAGTAGGGCCTACAAGTAAGGGCAAGTCCAGGTGTTCGTACTGATTCTTCAAAAATCCCACGTACGAAGTCCCCAGATAGCCCCAGATCCTCGAAGTAAGGGGTCCGGATTCGGGGTTTAGCTTTCGCAGCACACGCCTTGCGTCAAACCTCACAAAAACCTAAGATGAAGGGCTCGTTTTCTGTTTGTGTGTGAATGGTTTGTGTTTCAGGTGTCGAGTGCTGGCAGCAACCGGTGATCAGCCTGGAAGTCTTCAATGTGAATAGACAAGTTGGGTGTCAGATACTATCACACATGCAGAATCTCTACACCCCACGGGCTAAAACCTTACAACGCACGACGCCTTCGACTTCAGCGTATGATAAATGCAAATTGTCGCCAAACCCCTAAATCCTAAACCCCCAAACCCTAAACTTCCAAAACCTACACCCTGAACCTCCAAACCCTAAATCCCGTAATCCCTAAACCCCTGATTCCAGAAACCCTAAACCCGAAAGCCTACTGCAAAACCCTCCAGTGCTGCAGAAATTCGAATTCTTAAAGGCCATCCCCCTCTCGCAAAAACCCTAAAGCCCGAAACGCTTAACCCTGAAGCCCCAAACCCTGAACCCTGAAGCCTAAACCCCTCAAACCAAGCTTGTCCGAGATCTGCGTGACCTGTCAAGAGCTGAACTACACGCCCGGTCTCGGGCAGATGGCTGCGCTGGAGGTGGGAATTGACCCTAAACCCTAAACCCTAAACCCTAAAGGGTTTGAGCCCTGGGAGGGCTTAGATTTAGCAAGTTCCTTAGCCGACCAGAACCTACTTTTTCGTAGGGTCCCTAAAAATCCCATACTAGGGTTGAAAATCAGAACCTACAAAAAAGTAGGGGTGAGTGGGTCAAGGTTGGGGTTCTTTCGGTTTAGGATTCCGGGTGTTGAAGACACTGGCCCCACTGGAACTGCAGCTGCGCCCGAAAAACAGGTAGAGGCTCACCTGGATTGGCAGTAGGGTAGGGTAGGGTGGGTAGTGGGGTAGGGCAGGGTAGGGTAGCGTAGGGCAGGCAGGGTAGGGTAGGGTAGTAGGGTAGGGTAGGGTAGGAGGGTAAGGTTTTTGCTTGGTCTCGCAAAGGCTTACCTTCCGTGCATGGAGATCATGTCGATTGTCGAATTCGAAGACGACGTCACTGACTTCACATTTCAATCTCCGCGAAACACAGCCCGCCGGGAAACTGTCTTGAGGCGAGATCCTGCATTCT